ATAAACCTGAGCTGTCCAATATGGTAGCCACTAGCCACATGTGGCCATTTGATTTTATTTAAAATTAAATAAAATGAAAAATTCAGTTCCTCTGGTGCAGTAGCCACATTTCAAGTGCTTGGTAGCCACCTGTAGCCATGTGGCTAGTGGCCACATATCAGGCAGTGGAGATATAGAACATGTCTATCATTGCAGAAAGTTCTTTGGACAGAACTGTTACAAACTAACTCTCATTTACCTGCACATCCCTCCTGGAGCTTGTGGCTGTGCAGGTGCTCGAAGAGATGTGTAGTACGGAGGGCTAGATTCAAGGGAATGCAGAGGTCAGGAGATCCCGGCAGCTTTGCCTTTCATTGTGCACACTCACATGGTCAGGAGAAAGGATGTTGGGTAGGAGGGAATTGTGAGGTTCCTGTATGTACTCCCTCCTGCCAGCAGGCATAGCCCCTGAAGTACCACATTAAGTAAATGGTGCTGAAAGGGGGACCTGCCTTCTGATCCCAAAGGACAATGAAGCTCTGGGAGCTGCAGCTGCAAAGGGACCCTGGAGATGTGAGTGCTTGCTCTGTTATTTAGCATTTGCATCTTTTGGCCTTAAAAGAACATTTAAAATTTTTGGTGAGTGGCAGTGTCCCTCACCTCCATGTGATTGTATATGTGTGTGTGTGTGTGTGTGTTTATTGCTGGGTTGAAGGTGACTTTGGGGCCTCTTTAGTTGAAATGTGGGTGCCATTTGCAGCAGATGCTGACTCAGTTTCATGGATGATGGTTTTGTGAGTGTGGGCCTATAGTCATCATCAATCTACATTATGGCACAGGTACAGCTTGCCTCGAGGCACACAGGGTGTACAGAGGACACACATGATTACTCCCAACAGCAGATGTGCCAAGCAACTGGTGAGTCAGGGGTAGACTGGCCTTCCTGGGCTTGTGTGACCAGAGAGTGCCCAGACAGTGGCCCAAAGGTGACCATCACCTTATGCCAAGAGACACCCTACCTGGGACTGGCTCCAGCCACAGGTGAGGGGCAGCAGAGCCCTGGTGAGAGGGCTTGGCAGGATGCGGCTGATGCTTTTTGAGGGCTCCCTGCAGCAGAGACAAATGCAGATGTGCCTCCAGTCTAAAGAAAATGGTGTAGCAGGTCTCCAACACACACACGCATGCACGTACGCACACACATGCACACACATACACACACATACGCATACTTGTGTGCGCGCGCACACATGCATACGCGTGCACACACACACGCATACGCGCACACACACAGGTGTATGTTATGCTGTACTCTCGATTCTGAAATGCCCCCCTTTTTTACCCTAATTTATTCAAATTCAATTTCAGGGGCTAACCCTGTGTATTAATTACAGCCCTGTCACGCTAGTACTTTGAAAGGGAAATTTAATATAAAGGATAATCAACTAGTTAAAGATTGTTTACTCCTAAGAGGAGTAAAAGAAGATTCTAAGGGTAAAGATGTAGCAAATACACAAAGCAGCTGCTCCCTCTGGGGCTGAGAGTAGAAAACCAGAACAGAGCCGAGGATGTAGCCGAGGGCCTCCCACCCGCAGGGTTGAGAATCAGGCTGCCCGGTGGTGAGGAGACAGGCGGAAGGCGCAGCCCATGGCAGCAGCCTGCCTGGGAGCAGAGAACATGGTAGGAGGGTGTAGGCTGGAGCTGATATGCAGCAGCGACCTGCTGGGAGTGTGTGGGTCTGAGTTTGGCCAAAGGAGGGGCCTACCAAATGGTGGAGAGATGTAGTGAGGGTGGGTTGGTCTGTGAGGGCCACTGAAGGGGGCACTGCCAAGCCGCTGGCCTGCTGGCTGCTGTGCTGAAAACAGCACATTGGGACAGTTAAAGGCTCGATGTGGCCTCCTAGTGTCCCTCCAGAGCCCCTGCTGACAAAGCCTAATAGCGAGCCATTTGACCAGGGGAGAAACGACACAGGGCCCAGCTCCAGGATCACAATGCAGGGCAAAGAAGGGGGCATTTGGAGCTGAGAGGCCCTGTGTTCATGAGGGGCACATACCCCACCCCACCTCCCAGGAGCCGAGCCTTTCCTCTAATTCCAGCCTTATTGTTTCTTCCTGCTGTGAGCTCGGATGGCACTCGGTTCATCCCACTGCCGAGCGTCGTTCTGTGTGTGAGTGGCTCTTTGGGGTCTCCTCACGTGGTATGGGGCGCGGAACTCAACCTATTCTAAATCCCCAGTGAATTCCTGGTGGTTGGTGTCTTTCCTGGGAAGGGAGGAGGAAGTGAGGTGTGTCCTCAGCCTGTTTCCCACTCCTCTGCTTCCATTTGGCATTGACCCTGGAACAGCCTGGAGTGGGGCTGAGCGCACCTCCTGGGGAGTGGGCTGATGGGTGCCAGGGCAGCATCGCTGGGAGCATCTGGTCGGCCCTGGGCCTTGGTCACGCTGTGGGTGGCATGCTGGCTGCCGCTTATTCTGCTGGTGATTGTGATCTGTCTTTGGCTGGGATTGGAATTGGGGGACGATTATTTGAGCTGGAAAAGGTCGTTTGTTTGTAAGAGCCTGGACCCTTGTACTGTGAGGATATGCTGGGTTCCGTGTTTGACTATATTAACCTTTTTTCTCACTTTCTCAGAACGAGGGCTTGAGTGTGGCATTGGCCAGTCATAGCACTGACCTTCTGCTATCTGACACTGGCCAGCTCAGCCCCCAGTTCCAAATTCTTAAGAGAACCTACCACTCCCCCACAGCCCTTGGACTCATCAAGGAGTATGCTATTTCTTTCGATTCTTAGAGTCAATTCCCTTCTTCCTATAACCCCCTGTCATGGAAAAAAGACTCTCCTTGGCCCAGCTTGAACCAGGTATGCACATCAAGGCTGGAGGACTTTGTCCAGGGGGATGGAGTCATGTGTACATAGGGTTCCCTAAGAGTGTGTTGGGGTGGGTAGCAGAGCTGTCCATCAAAGCCAGAAGTGGGGCGCCCTCAGGGGCCTAAGGACATCCTGCTAGTGCCTGGAGACTGGGGCATCTGCTTGTTATGGAGGGAGGGGGCGGGTGGGCTTCCTGGCTGCTGGGATGAGGGTGTTCAGGGTGGCAGTGTTCTCTTCTTAATTTCTTAGGTCACAGTTTTCTGTATGGTTCACTTGGCACCTAACTATATAGGATCTTTGCATGTTTCTTCCATGTTTGTTACCTATTGTTATTTAACTCTTCACTTGTTTATTACCTCCGATATATGTTTAATTATGTCGGCATCTCTCATAGCACTTAAGAGAGGGTAAGTCCATCACAGGTGTTCACCATTTCTTGGTTGATTTCACCTGGGGGAGTCCCGGGTTCCCACAGGGCACTGGGCTCCCTTGTCTTCTGCGTGTGCCATGGCCCCATCCTACCTCAGAAGCTGTAGCTCCAGGGGCAGGACCCTCATAGTTCCAAGATGCTCAGATGAGCTGGGGTGATGACTGGGGATGCACAACCTCAGGGCAGATGGGGGCCACCTCCTAGTTCTGGAAGGACAGGTGGTCGTTAGCCCCCAAATAAAGGCTGCCCTGTCCTAGACAACATGCCCAACTGCCTGCTCCACGTGCCAGTGCAACTTTTGCTCCAGTAAAAGGAGATCACTGCAGAAGCTTGCTGAGTTAAGAGAGCCCTGGGTTTGGAGTGTTTTCTAGACCTTCCTTTGACATTTATTAGCTATTTCTTTATAAGCAGAAATGTCTGAGTTTCTTATCTTTAAAGGTACCAATGCCTGCCTCCCTGAGCTGCTGCAAGGATTAAAAGAAGTAGCATATCTGACCATGTTTTATGAGTTGTAGGCCTCCAACAGACAGACAGTATTACTAGTATGTCTGAGGGTTGGGTGGCAGATACATGAACTCGATATACCCTCGAGTGAATCATTAGTAGATTAGATTTGGCCAAAAGCCTTGAACGAATGTTCATTTCTGAAGGAGTGGAACCCAGACCAGGTAGGTTTTAATGGAAAGAAGATCAGAAGCATCGGGCCATGTGAGAAGGGAGGCAGGCCTCTGTATGAGATTGGAGTTGACTGCCCTGGGTACTGAGGCTGAAGGAGAACATTGGGGAAGAAGGTGAATGAAGGTGTGTGTGTGAGTGAGTGTGAGTGTGTGAGTGAGTGTGAGTGTGTG